CATATGATGTATCAAATCTGCTCTGCAAAAGTATTCCTTTATGGGCTACCCAAGCTCAGATACTTTGGTCACCTAATGCGAAGAGAGGACTCCTTGGAAAAGACCCTGATGCTGGGAAAGATTGAAGGCAAAAGAAGAAGAGGACGGCAGAGGATGAGATGGTTAGATAGCATCACTGAAGCAATGAGCATGAAACTGAGCAAACTCAGGGAGGCAGTGAAGGACAGGAAGGCCTGGCGCAATATGGTTCATGAGGTCACGAAGAGTCGGACACGACTTAACGACTGAACAACAAAGATAGAAGAGTCTTTCTTATTCAACCTCTACTGATGTGGACAGGCAAATATTAAAAGAAACATACAATAATATGGGCATAAAGATCCAAGGGATATTCAAAATATAGGGGAATGCAGAAAATATTTGTTCTCACCCTGCCAGCCGCATATTCTGTTCCCAGGTGTTTCCCCACTAGCTTTTTGCAAATTTGACTGTCTTTTGCCCTTCAACGTTATTTTCTTTTATTGTCAGGAGGGGGAGCCATTGTCTCATTATTTCTTAAAATCAGGAAATATAACAGCATCTGAAAGTCTAACAAATATGTTATTACCTAAATTATCCACATGAAAGTATGTATAACCATAAAATTGTATGGCATTGATGTGCCACAAGAACCTTTATTGTTTTTGCTGTGATTGACTAATGTGCTTGCCCAGTTGGAAACTCATAAGATGAGGGGAATCCCTGAAAAGTGAAAAGTCACATTAAAGAGATGAATGTCCTTTGTTCTAGATCTGGTGGAGAAAGAACCATTTCCTGCATGAACACAGAAGCATTATTCCTGTCCCTTCTTGACACTGGGGTGGGGCACAGCAACCAGGAGAGCTCAGCAGTGGATGAATTCAGGCAGATGGTGGGAAGCAAGGACATGGCCAAGGATGTCTCCATAACCACTGAACCCAATAATCCCTTGATACCCCCACTTGAAGATGCCAACAGTCTCATTGCCAAAAAAAATGCACTAGAAGCATCATCCAACCCAATACAAAAGGATGCCCCTGTGAAGAAGGCTTCCTCATCTCCAGTCCTGCTTTCACAAGGAATTAATATGGCACCTGTCTACCAAGGGCAGGATGATAGTCAGATCAAAATGCCAAATATCTCCTCAGAGCAGCAGAAAGAAGAAAACACTTTGCGTCAGCTGGCACAAGGAGAGACTGGCAGTCACCTTAAGTGTCATGACAATATTTTAAATGTCTTTCCAGAGCTGAAGCACTCAGATGGAATCTCCATACAGGAGGTCCAAGGGGTAGAGAGCAGGTTGTATCACTGCTCTGATAAGGCCCCCATTATACCTGCTGATGATTGCATACCTTTGGAATGTGTCCAAGAGGCTAAAAAAAATATTTTTGTTCCTGATGGAGCTACTTCAGATATTGCTTCAGAGCAACAGACATCCAATGATGTCTCAAATCAACCAGACCAAAAGATACAGGATGACACTGTAGATCATTCTATCCAATCTCCTGATGCATATTCAGGTTCAGCAGAGAAACCAGAACTTTCCAGTAGCCCCAAACAAACTCCTGCCTGTGAAGAAAAAAGTGAAGCTCTGGGTTCACCTAAATCTGTCAACTTGTTGCCTCTGGGGACCAATTCTCAAAACCAAACTAGGGAGGGAGAGTGTTTTATCTCCAATCATTCCAATTTTGATTTGACAGCTGAACTTCAAGGAATATTTCATCCTACCAATATTCATGAACAAATAAAGCCAAGCTGCCAAGAAATTACAGAGATAGGTAATGAAGTAAGAGTGCCCAGTGGGCAGAATCATCAGTTACTTTTAGCCTCAGAAGACAACCAGGGTCATGTCAATGGGCAGTTTTTGAGGAAATCCTTAGAAGATAATTCCCAGACAACTGAGGAGCAAGTCACCCAAGATTCTTCCTGCAGTCCAAATTCATCTTCTCTGGCATCAGCAGACTCTCAGCTGGATGTTGACTCGTGCTGCCAGCAGAGGGCATCAGGTACAGGTTGTGACCCTCTTCCTCAGAAACTGCCAGCACAATCTCCTGTGGCAACCAATGACTCCTGTGGACCTGCCCACCAGGGCCTGGCTCCTGTATGTGACAGGCAAGACAGGGAAAGATTGGCTATTCATGAGTCAAGAGGAGCCGGCAACAATAATCAGTCCCAGGGCGAGGTTGGAGCAGAGTCTGTGCTGGAATCTGAGAGGCAAAAAGAAGAGACCAGGGACTCTGAGTCTGGAGAAAATACCAGCCAGCCAGAGGGAGCAGAGAACCTGGCTGATCCCAACAAACTGGACAAAGCATTTCCGGACTCACAAAGCCTACCTAATACAATTCATCCAACTAATTCCCAAGAGGCAATGGTTTTAGCCAGTGCTGAAGATCTGCTAGGTGCCAGGAATGGAGCAGACTCTCAAGGTTTAGCTAATGCCGCATATCCAGATATTGCTACAGAGTATTCTGGCTCCAATCCAACACCAAGAGAGCGATTACGACTTGATGCTGCAGACTCCACCAATACCAGAAATCTGGTGAGCCCAGCAGATCCAACTCCTGCTGCTGAGGAGCACTCTGTGACTGAAGGATCAGACTGCCCCACAGACTTGATGGGAAATAATACCCATCAGCCTGAGAACCCTTCTCACACTACTGAGACCCCAATTGAGCGAGAGATCCGTGTACACCTGGAAAGGGAAGAACTTCTACGGAGGGAGAGAGGCCTGGCCAGCTCTCGAGGTACCCAGGAATATGTGGAAGTGTGCATCAAACCTATCCTGAATCAAAGCATGACATCCTGCATAAAGCCAAAGGAGAAGGAGCGTCAGTGGGCTGGTGTCCAGATGCAGCGGGAGATTCAGCGGGAGTGTCGGCGTGAAGAGGACCTTGTGCAGCTGGGCAAGGTGAGAGGCACTTATGACCGTGGCACACCCCAAGAACTTCAGGAGAAGAAGATGATCTTTGAGCAACATTCCAGCCCTGAGATACCAGACTTCAGAAAGATGGTATATAGCAGCAACAACAATAGCATTATGGAAGGTGCAAGGGGACCATCTTTTGCTGAGGTCAATCGCATGCCCAACGTGATCGTCCTGGATTCTGGTGTTCCAGTACAACCACAGCAGCACATGCCAGAAAGAGCCTCCTTGGGTAGCCCCTTCTTCTGCTTGCGTGCCAAAAGCTCTCAGTCTCTGTTGGAGCAGGAGGTTCAGGAGGTCCAGGAACGAGAACGGGAGCTGTGGAGGCAGAGGCACGCCCTGTATGGCTCAGCATTGCCTTGCCAGCCAGCAGAAGACTCAGATCAAGTTGAGGAAGTTCCCTACCCCCCAGGTAAGTACTGTAGTGGTGGAGGGGTGGGGTGAAGAGAGGAATGTAAAAAGGACCACAGGCTTGGCTTTGACTCTAAGAATCAAAGCCAAGCGTGTGGTCCTTTTTCATTCTTCTTCAGTTTTCCCCAGACTGCTTTTCCCAAACTATTGTCACTCAAATGGACTACAGCTCTCCTTATCCCAGCCAGTGTATGTAGCACATTTGGAGAATGCCAACTTAGGCAAGGCTGTATTAAAAAATATGAAATGAAAGCAAAAAGGATTTGGGTGAAATGGAGGGATAAGAAAAAACTAAAAGAAAGTTCTTCAGGGACAGACAATTAATTGAATAAATAAATAATGGAATTCACTACTGTTATAACAGCCAACAGCTTAGATCAGTTTTCTCCACCCTGAGGACTTTGAGATGCGTGGGATTAAATATCCCAGAATTCCCCATACATTTGTAAAAGAACAATAATTTGGGGAAGGTTGGCTAGACGGCTATAAGGGGAATTAGATCAATTTATGGATAAATCCATCATTTTTTAGAAGCAGTATAACTCGATATATGAGCTGGGAAACAGTGATGTTTTTATGGGCTTTCTGTGCTTTCCAGAGGCATGTGGAAATTGGTAAATGTAGGATGCAGATCCCTATGAGTGTTTGGTCTCATGCTGCAGGCCTCTTCTGAGGTTAGTTCATTCTGAGACTAGCTTGCTCAGTGTCAAGTGGTTAAAGGGCTTGATCTGGTCAATCAAATCACATGCCAACTATCATCTCACTGCATGACCTTGAAAGAGCTGCTTGGCCTGCTTCCTCTAAGGTAAAGGAATGTAAAAAAAATAGAAGCAAAATAGAAATGCCCAGAAACCTAAGGACAAAAGTACGTTTGGGGAAAGGATTCTGAATTGCTAACACCAATCAATCTTATGCCATTTGTTCAAACTTGAAGAAAGAAAGAAGAAAACCTAATGATATGATCAGCTGTGATGTCGTAGAATTCTATATTGATGCCATCGAATTCTGTTTTGTTTTACTCCTACTCGTTTCAGCATGATAAAATGGGCTGATGATATAAAGTAAACCAGGAGCAGACAATCTGGTCCACCCAAGTGTTTTGCCTTCAGCTCCCTGTCAACATGGCCAACAGCAAGGAATTCTGGAAGCCATGCCTTGACTGATGTGACACATGTTTTGTCACTTCTCCCTTGTGTCCCTTTCTTGATGCCTATGGGTTAAGTGTCTTGTATGAGCTACAGCTGCTATCTGGATGTCCCACCTCTTGTTCTGTGCCTGTCATGACAGCTAATGTGATGCAGTGATAAAAGAATGTTAGACAAAGGCAGAAAAACCTGTGTTAAAATCCCTTTAATTTCATCAGCTGACCTTGCAACTGTCAGTTTATCCCAGGGCTGATACAGAGTGAAATGTGGTATGAGAACTTGGCATCCAGCAGACTTGGCATGTGTATCTAGAGGGTGGTAAAAGGTTTCTAGGGTGTTGTAGCAAACACTGGATTGAACTTTAACAGAGGCGAGACTGAAAGGGAAAGCTGGGTGTGAATTTTATGGCCCTGAGTATATTCTCAAAAGGTAGAACAAATGCAGAACTCATAGAGGAAATGGGGCAGAAACCCAGGGGGAAGAAGGACCCGTTTCTCATCTGTCTGTGGCAGTGCTCAGGCCATGCTGTCCTCATTCATATGTTATGTCTAGCCATGATGAAGCTTGGGATTAAGTACATTATGCAAACCCAGCCATCATGGTTTGTAATCTGTAGTTTATTTTTAACATGAAGTATGGATCCTGCCAGTTGTAAGTTATTTAATAAACCAAGTTTAAATAAATGTGTGAACCCAGCTACTGTCTGAATTTGAAGCCCTTTCCTGTTACCAGTTACTCAAACATGAGAAAAATAGTTCTGCATATGCTCAATTTCCCCACTAGTGACTTGTAGCATCTTCATAGCATCACTCAGCCATTGTTGAAGTGACTTGTTGTTGTTGTTAATATCATTATTGTTATTTTGGTATAATGATGGGTGGATGTCTCTAGAAGTTGCTGCAAGCTGGTAGTTGGGGGGAATGATCACAGAAGCATTGCTGTGCTGATGGGACTGTGTGGCTACTAAGCTGGACTTGCTTCCCTTTTTCCCTCTTTGCAGAGAGACCTTCCTGCAAGAAGCTGGATGTCACTTGGCCGCCTCCAAGCACTTCAGAAAACGTCCAGGTGAATAGCCTCCATCAGGTAATAAGCATGGTAGCCACAGTTATCCTCATAGCTATGATATGTCATGTGTGTTACAGAACGTAGCTAGATGTAGCAAGCTCTTAGCACTCCCAAATGTGTATGTGGCATAGAACTATAATCCTGCAAGAATGAAGGGGCACAATCTTCCTGTCTCACTCATGGATTTTTTTAGAACATCCAGATAACTTTTTCTTATTTCTTTTCCAAACTCTCCCATGTTTTCTCACCATCTTTATCTCATTAAAAAAAAATCCATTAATGAGGGTAGTACTAGGAGCCATCATTCTTGAAGCAGTTAAAGTAGTAACAGGCAGGTTAAAAAGGGGGGAAACTTATAGGAGACATTAATCATGGATCAACATATTCCATCTGGGTCCTCTCAGTTATTTTGTATTGCCCTTAGCTCTCCTCTCAGGAATATAGGTGGTTGTCTTGGTATAGGTAAAATTTCAGGTTCCTAGATCTTTTCTGCATTTTCAATCTGCCCCCTCCTCAATGTACAGTCTGTAACAGGGGCTGTTACAGGTCAGGGGTGATGAGCTTTGTACTCAATATACACCTAGGAATATTAGGGGGGAAAGAGGAGGCTGCTTTACTCTATACCAAGAGTTTTCCTGGCTGCACTTGGAGATGCTGGGGATTGAACCTGGAACTATCTGATTGCAAAGTAGCAAAGAGAAGGAACAGAATATTTATATACCATTGATACAATACCATTCTGTTATTTTACCTCCTACTTGTTCCTTCTCTTTGCTATCTTCCTCATTGTTAACACTGAGATTCAAAATTCCTTGGAGAAGAGAAACTTTGTTGTTCTTATAACTTATGCTGCTGTTCAAAGCTCTGTGTTTACTGAATAATTTATTTAAAATAACAGTAGGGGCCTGCTCACTATTTATTGTAGTAGCTTTGGCTTGCTTTTGCAGTTGATATCATCTGCCCGTGGTCCTTCACCATAACCCAGAACTTTATCACATACAATAGAAGTAGTTGCAGGATTGGAGCTTCGCTAAGAATCTGCTCCTTTGCAAAGATCGGACTCTGAAATTTACTTTGAAATATGTGAGGGGTTTGCTTGGGGTGGCTATGGTTTACCTGGTTAACCAAGTCCCATTTTATGGAATGGTGTGATTAGTATGGAGGGAGCTTGAATGGATTTATCTCTTGACGCTTGCGTTAATGAAGACAGAGGATGACAGAGAAAATGGAACTCCTTACCTTTTGTGTGCCAGATTGTAGCTATGAGTGGACATGCTTTAATAAGAGTGGGCAAGTGAGGGTCCTACATTTCACCCTTTCCTCCAAATTCAGATCTTCAGTCGTATGTGTGTATCTGCACTAATCAACTCCTGTTGCGTGTGCCTCTTTCAAAGAGACAAGAATGGCACAGTACCTAACCCGTGTCTACTCATAGCTGTAGTTTATCATTCAAAAGATAAGTGGCTCAACTTTGTCATTCTCCTACTGTTTGCAGAGAGAGAGGTACAAGATCATCTCTTGGGCAAACTGTTCTCAGAGAACAGACCTGCATGCATCTCTGCAGCACACAAAATCCTTGCTGCTATTTAAAACAGTGGAAACAAATGCTGTTTCCCTCCTTTTGCATATCTCATTGCCCCGTCCCCCCCCTTTTTTTTTTTGCAAAACTTCAATGGACTCATTGTAATGCATTTACATTTGTTTCCTTTGCCCTCAGTCGCAACAGGGAAACCGTAATACTGTAATAGTAGCGCTGTTATTCTTAGGAATCTTTTCATGTGGCTGCAGATATTGGAAAGAATTTCACACGCGTCTGCTTCTTGTCATTTATTGATATAATATAAAAACAACAGCAGTGGACTTTCAGTTTTTTATGTCTGAAATACCAAGAGGAAACAATGTGCCCGTTACAAGATTGAAGGGACTTCTATGGGGCTTGCTCATGAACTTCCTTTTTACGTCCCCTTTTCCTGCCTGGGCCTCTCCCCTTTCCTACTTGCTCAGAGAGGAGAGCCCATCACAAATCTTAGAAGAGGATCCTAGGAGTGCCCTAAGTGGCCAACATGCTGGTGCCAGCACTGGAGGACAAGATGATATGTTGTGTCTCTGCTGGACCAATTTGGAGCTTATTTATTTGTTTACTTATTTAACATATTCTGTCCTGCTTGCTTCCAGTCACGCCAACAGAGATTCACAATAAAAATACAAAAGAACAACCATACAATTCAAAAATGACAGATCTCATAAAACATCAGGTCTGTTAATACCAGTCTTTTACACTGGGGCTGTTAGAAATACAGTTAAATGAAATAACACACTAGCCTTTAGACGGTACAGTTCCAGCCCTAAAAAATCCAAGCAATATTTTTCAATAACATATTTGGAGCAGTGGAGGATTTGCTTGGGTTTAAAAATAAGTTTTTAACCTCTTCTTAAAACAAGTCAGGGATGGAGACAATTTCTAGAGGGAGGGAATTGCACAGGGCTGGTGCTGTCACCAAGAAAGCCTTACAATTAGTCAATTCTTAGTGAGCCTCCCTCTGGGTCAGTCCCTACAGTCAGTTCTTTCAGGGAGGTCAGAGGCAAGCTGGTAACAAATCTCTGTGCACCTTAAATTTGGCTTAGAAAAGTACAAGAAGCCAAGGTAGCTTTGCCAGAACAGGTGACCCATGACCTTGTCAGGCAGTACTGAGCTATGGTCCGTTGGCAGATTAAGATGCAACTTTAATCCATAACTGCTGTACAACGTGGCTTAAAATTGAATGGGGCTCAGATTGTCATACATCAATCAATCACCATGCCAGCCTCAACTTCTGAAAGCTTGCTTGAGAGTCTAACTGCTGTAAAGGAACAAACTAACTTGGCCCCAATCTAAAGAATGTAATTAGTATCCTGTTGTTGCTTGAGTCTTTTTACTAAAAGCATGTGATCTTTCTTGTGTGATAAGAGAAAGCATGATATACTGTACTCTGCTCCCATTTGCATCAGAAGGAGAAGCAGATCCTGTTTGGATTTTCTTCAAGTGCTAAGGCAGTAACCCTGAACACATTTACCGTGATGTGCACCCACTGAATCCAGCCATGTGCTCTGCACATACTTGTGAACTGGCAAATAGAAACCACAACTCCCAAAACACAGTGGCATTTGTGGTGGCATGATTTGGACATTTTCCCCCCCTTTATTAGGAAGAAGATTAATTTTCAATAAAGTGTACAAAGGGTACATTGGGCCTGCTTTAGGTCTATGATTCAGTTTTATGAATTAATACATTTATGAATTACTTTCTGAATATTCCTAGGATCATAAATCATTGCCTAGTAGAGGCAACTACTGATGTTGACAGTGCAACTAAATTGTTTTCTTTGGGGGATGGGAAGAATAAACATTAGTTTAATAGCAAAAATGTGGCTGCATGTTTTTCTTTGTTCAGAACCAGCCATGGCAACCTTCTTGGATTTAGTTCACATACTTGCTTTTTTCATGTGTTTCTTGAATCTCACAAACCCTTGTTTCCTCTTTCCCCTTTTTTCTCCCTCCCCATTCAACCCCACAGGTGGAGAGAAGCCCTCGACTCCTGCGTCGCCAGAGGAATGCCTTAATCCAGCGTTGGGAGTCTGGAGCTATTGGCAGTGAGGAGAGCCAGGATTAGGGGCTGCCACAACCTGAAGAGGCAACCGATTTGACCTCCATTCATAAGACACACAGGGGCTTCTCAAAGAGTCCCCTGGCCAAGTATAAGTGCATCTCTCTAGAGCCCATCATGCACGCTTTCCACTCAGCCTTTTGATCTGACAGAAATGTTCCAAAGCCTGTCTGCATTATCAGTTTGATTATGAGCAGAAAGGATGTTCATGGTTGGCTGCCTTCTCCTGAGATTTAAACTGGAGCAAGAAGGAAAGACTGTGGGTTAGACTGCCAGCTGTCTTATATAAGGGCTTATATAAGCAGAAAGATGGGGTATAATTTAGTAATAAATACAATTAAGCTCCAAATCCAAAGCACTGCAGTTCATATTAGTTTCATATTTATGTAGGCACACCTGGATGGACATTGATGTCTCCTTTAAATTGCTTTCCACTCATAGCTCTTTCCTAAAGTTTATAGCTTTGATCCATAGGGTCCTACCACATGCAGATTTTTCTGATCCATGGAGGTGGAGGTACGCTCCAAGCAAGGCTGGCTACCATGAGGATGTCTCAGTATACAAGGTTGAGGAGGACCTTTCTCTTTTGGAGGCTGGCAGTTAAATGGTTGGCTCTCTGGGTTGATTGTATCTCTGGATGCATATCCTCAGGGAAGGAATGTTATCAGATCACCAGTGATTGATTTTGTCCCCAGGTTTCTCATATTCAACATATGGCACATGGATTAAGCAGTTTATATTACTCCAATTCATAGGGGAGAAATCGTAAGAAAATATATCTTTGCAGACCTCCCCTCTGCTACTTGTTTTACAGGAGGTGCTGGATTCTGTCTATCTAAACAAAAAGATTGTTTTGCATAGGAGTAACCCCAAATTGCTGGCTTTTATAAATGCTGCAAGAATCTTGGTCTCTAAGAAATGCACAGAAACATTTGTTCTGTAGCCCTTTAAAAAGAAGTGTCTGAGTTTTTGTCACTGAGAAAATAAAGGACAGTCATTTTCCCCCAGAGCTAAAAGGCATTTAAGGGAAAGAGTGAACCTGCTTAATTAACTGTTATTTAGAAGGATAAATCTATAATAACATTTCCTTCTGTAAGTAAATGGATTTTATTGAATTAACATGGCATTTAATGCACAATAAAGCTAATTGGCAGAGGAGTCCTCTGCCTTGACTATTATGCCTAGGCTATGCTTCTGCTTTGTGCCAACAGAGGAACGATTATGTCAACATCTCTAGCTTAGAAAGGCAGAGAAGGATCCTATTTTATCTGGCTGAAGTGAGAGTACTCCACAAAGGCTTGGTTTGCTGAGGTCATTTTACTGGTCTGACTCATAAAACCACATTCTGGGAAGCAACAGGTGGTGTGGTTTAGAAATAGTATCTACAAGCTGATCTCATAGAAATTGGGTTTTGGTCACAGGCTCAACACCCATCAAATTCTTCCCTTGCCACACCTTTTGCTCAGTTCTGCTGCCCTTCTGGATGTGAATATTAGAGGCAGTGTTTGATTAAATAAAAAGTGAATGACTTCCACCCAAAGCCATACTTTCATCCAGTAGATTTATTCCTAGCCGTGCCAACTCCAGTGCTGTAAGCGTTTTCTAAGTATTTACCCTACCATTCCTTAAAATCAGTGTGAAACATTGCCTTTGTTAGCGCCACTTGTGTAACAGTTACTTGGCATCAGAACAGCTTAGTAGCCACTCCCAAACTCTGAAAAGCACTCCTTTCTAAACTCCTTCCCTTTGAAAACATTTTTTTTATTCAGGCTTTTAAATGAATGAAAAATGGTTGTTAATGACTGTATGATCTGTATGTTTTGTAAACCACTCTTTGATAGTTGGCATTCTGTAAATGTTTCAGTAAATAAAAGGACATTCTGCAATGTAGAACTGAAGAAAGCATTTTCCAGCCTGAAATGAGTAGTTCCAGCTAAAAGCTGGAGAGAATGCTCTATGGGATTAAACTGGTTGGAGTTGGGATGCTTAAACCTCAAAGCTGCCACTCCTGTTCTCTAGTTTTTGAGAAATCATGACCAATTGTAATCTTTAATAATAATAATGAACCTCCCAGCCTTTTTTCTATCATGCATGCATGTGCGCATGCACCCCCCCCAGGTTTTGTACACTTGCATGTTCTGGAGAGGGAGCCAAGAATAGCACTGGGCGTTAAAACTGGAGAACAGTTTCTTAAGATTTTTAGGAGTGTATCAATTATGGGTGCTATAGTTGCCAAGGGGAGAATGTGAACCTGTCACAAAATGACTGCAGTAATGAGTGGCCCCCAGGCAAAAAGAAAAGGTGGAGCAGAGAGCCTACTGGGTGGTATGCCAGCCTTAGGAGCACAGCAGGTAGGTGACTGAGATGGAGGGACCATGGGTATCCACGGGGAAGAAGAAGAAAATGGTGCCACACAGGTCACAGTGTGATCATGCCAATAACATGAAGTATGCAGTTTTTGTCACTTGCATAACTGACACAACTTAACACCATTTGCAATATTTATATATTGACACTATGGCACATGTGATCCTAATCCTTCTTTTGCTGGATGCCTGTGGGCAGGACTTTGTCCTTTCTTCTCTTACATATACACCATCTCTAGAATAATGGGACGAGATGTTCTGGCAGGTGTTTCTTTGAAAAACAGGAAATAAAAATAGGTGTGTTAAGCACCTACTAGGACTAATCCACTTATTTTACTTTTAAAAATCCCTCCAGAAATTTGGGGGAGGGGGGACAGAGATGCAGAAGGGTTTGATGAAATAGATAAACCCCACTCCTTCTTCCAGTAACTTTCTAAAAATAATAAAAGGAGTGTACATTAAAAAAAATAACGGGATGGGTGGGGGGAATTGTCAGGGCTATAAGCAGTGTATTTGAAGTGTATTTGTCTAAATAAATTAACACAAAGAAAGAGAAAAAAGACCAGTATATTATAGCACAGGGGTATAATAGGATTTGGGTAATATTTAGGATGCTCATGTTCTCTCTGATATAGAAAAATCACGCCTTCTACCATGATGATGGTGATCATGATGATTTTCATGGTTGATGATATAATTGGAGGGGCAGTGCTAAGATTGTGGGTCCTTTTTCCTTGGTGTTTATAGTTTTTCCTCCAATTATCTAGGCTTGGACTTGAGCCTATTTCAGGCTCAATTCCCCATGAATTTTGGATTGTCATTGAAAATCAGAGGAATTTCACCATCATTATATGGCACTTTTCTGCTGAATCCTGGCAACATCATCTTCGCAGGTTCTGGAGGCCACAGAAAAGAGCTTCAGGAATTCCATTCTTGTTGGTGTGTATGTATGGATGGAAGCAACATTAGAAGGCATCCTCCCCTTTTTCATGAGTCAGCACTGTAAAGGCCAAAACACTAGGTTTTAATAGCAAAGCTTTTAACATGGCGAACAGAGAAACATCTTTTCAAGCATTTTTATACCTCCAGTTATAGTACTACTCCAAAATGACATGTCTCTTCCTGAGGCAAAGTTATGCCATGGATTATGACCCATTAGGAACTTGGGGTAATAAACATACTTCTGAACAAACAGCCTGCCCAAGGAAGTGAGAGGATGTAAGGCAAATCTGAATATACTCCTCTAAGCCAATCATCCTTATTATATTCTTCAAAGAAACATTTAGACAGGGAAAGGAAGAATTCTTGGAGTCTTCCAGATATTATTCATATTCTTGGACAGCTTTCCCAGTCTGGCTGAAAATTGGAGTTGGAGTCCAGCATGTTTGGAGGCCATCAGGTTGGAGAAGAGTGGTCTTCTTATAAGCATGGGGGTATGAAGGCTGACCACTATCAAGGCTGACTTCAGACAGTTTGCTATTTCTCTACTTTGCAATGAGTCAACTGGGCAAGTCTCTTGCAGAGCATTATTGGCTGGGATGCTGGAGTCTACACTTTCATCCCCCAGAGCTCTACTGATGCCAAAGGACTGTCTCATATTTTGTGAGGTGCTTTTTTGGACAAGGCTCTACATTCCCCAAAGTTGATGTTCTTTTTGGACGACAAATCCCATCTCCCTCAGTCAGCAGTTCTGATTGGGGGTGATGAGAGCTTCAGTCCAACACTTTGAGAGGGCAACATCTTGAGGAGATAAGACTTATAGTGAAAATAGACAGATATCATTGTACAACTTCATAAATTTATACTTCATACAGAAAAAATTAAAAATCCAGCTTTATTTATCATTGTTTCAATCATTTCCGGCAGTCACATTAGTCAGGGGCAGGGGCAGTGCAGCAAAAGCAACAACAAAATATTCTTTATCACTGTGTGATGGTCTCTCCCACATTTCTTTTTCTTAAAAAACAGAGAATTTAAAGCAAATGCAATACTAAAAATAAATACAGTACTTAAAGTCTGTTTACCAACATCTCTTTGCTTCAGTTTTCTGCAATACCAGCAACATATCTGAAAAGCACCAAGTTACACAAAACTGGCATACTGCATTCTTATATTACTTCCATATCAATGTAGTGGTGATGATTTCATCCAAGGAAAATACAGAATAATGATTTGATTAGCATTCTCTGAATAGATAACCTCTCTCAGAACTAATTCCCAGTGGAGTATGATACTGTTTATTAATCTAGCTAGAAACTGAGATTTCCTTCATTATTCCTCAACAGAAAACATTCCAACTCTATCTGTACAGAAGTAATCTATAACCTTTGTGCTACAGGGACAATAATATACAGATAAAAGGCACTTTTTTCTGTACTGCCCTTTTAAAACATATTGATAGGATATCAGGGATTAATTTAGAAATAATCAGTAGTCATTTCTACCAATTGATTTTCCATTTAAGGTTCTTATGGATTTCCCAGAAGCAGTGACAATTTTTGTGGCATCTAGTTTTTACCCTGAAGGTGCCCTGGGGAAGTAGTGAAGATGTTATATGACTTCTCCTTCTTGTTTTCTGGAGATTTGTACATTTGTTCAGCCTTAATTCTACCACCATATGCTACTGCTTGATGGCAACAGGGTTAAAGAACCCTCTGTGGTTAGCTAACTTGCTAGATTGGGTGCTCAGGAAGATATTTGACAAGGAACTTTCCGAGGTTAGATAAATTTCTATCTTTTCAGGGGAAACATAAGGGTAATTGAAAAACAGATTGTATGGGACAGCAACTGAAATGGCATATGACAGTAAAATAATTTCCCCAGAGCTCAACCCTGCAGTAGGAAGTAAACTTTGTGGAGTTCTGAGTTAAATACATTTAAGAATGCACTTCCATGTACGCATGCCGCCATTAAAAATCTGGATGTAGCCAGAGTTGTAGTTTGGGTGAGTGGGTGGGTTGGAAAACAATACCCCAAACAAAATACAACTTCAGCAAAATTCTTCTAATTGGATATTAACAGGGGAAAAAACCCACCATCAGAGCCACAAAATTGGAGATGGGGGAGGAAACATTGCTAGGCAAGACAGAAGACCTAACGTGCTAGGGAAAGAAATGTTTTGTAGATTACTATCTGGTGTTATGCACATTTATCTGAAATTAGAAGTGCAATGACTCTTAAGAGTAAGTCCTAGTATGCTGGTTGTAGCAAGTTGGGACACACAGGGGAGAGAGACAAGTTGTTATTTTTGTACCCTGGTCAGTCTTGCTGATGCCTGAGATCTTTGCACACCAGGCATAGCCTCCTTTCTTTGTTAAGTTTGTTACAAGCTGAAGGTTGGGCCTTTCCTTTTTCCTAGAAGTATCTTCTTTCTCCACTTGCCCTTTATATACAAAATTATTGCAAACTGTCAAGTTTTAAGAACTCTTGAAGTTTGTTGGAAAAAGGGGGGAAGGAAGGATAAAATTACTGATGATTATTCTGTGACTGTTAGTCCTCCTAGGAAAGAGATGTGTGTTATGTGTGGGTTTGTGTGTATTCATTCATTCAATCATTCATTCATTTCTCTTAGCCTTTGCTTCATTTGGTTGTTTGTTTGTACTACATTTGTCTAATTTACACAACAAAGCAATCAAGACATGATGCAAGGAGGGTTTTGTTTGTCAGCTGTCTTGTTGCAAAGCCTGATGCTGTTTAGGGTTGAGAGAGAGCGACTGGCCAAGGCTACCCAGTTGGCTTCCATGCCCGAGGGAGGACTAGAACTAGAGTCTCCCTGCTCCCAGTCCAGAATCTTAACCATTACATCACACTGGCTCACAAAAGCTTTGATACAATATGTAATGACTCATGCAGTTTCTTGTACTTTGGATGGCAAGTGTTTTCCTGCTCCTCCTAGGACTTAATGAATACTATAAGAATTGTTTTCTGTGAAGTTTTACAAGGGCCTGCTCAAAGTCTACATTGCCTACCTAAGATTGCCAAGTCTTTAATAGCAGCTTCGGCTGCATGCAGACACTGTCTTTGTATGACATGCTGAAACACAAATTCACCCAGCACATTTTAGCCTGTCTTGTATGCACAGCCTGTGTTCCTGCTTTACAATTCAGTGCATCTTGCAAACCTAGAAAGTTGGGTTAACTGATTAATTTGCTACATGTGTCATGGGAATACAGCTATTAACAGGTGAAAATGTTTATTCATAATTTCTACAACCTGGTGCCCTCTATAAATATTTGATTTCCATTTTCATGAGCCACAGGTTTCATAAGAGTTATACTGACTGAGGGTTAGATGCATTGAAACCCAATTCATTCATAAGGCACCAGCTTACAGAAAGCTGTACTAGCTGGCATTTGTACATCCTTATTTTTGTGGGGTTGAATATAATACCTGTTTGTGCAAATTAATAAATTAAGAGATACAATCCAACTAGAGAGAAAAAGAGAGCAAAAAGACACCATTCCAGTTTATGCACTTTCCCCAGCTCAAGCTCCACATTCTTGGTTCTCAAAGCAAAGTTCCATATACTGTGTCTTGTTTTACTTTTTTTCCCTTCAGGAGACTAATATAGGCACCTCATTTTATTGCGCTTTGCAGATATTGCATTTTTTTTAATAAATGGAAGGTTTGTGATAATCAAGTCTATCAGATGAAAATTAGCATTTTTTAGCAATCAAGTATTTTTAATTAAGGTATGCACATTTTTTTTTAGACATAATGCTATTGCACACTTAATGGACTACACTATAGTGTAAGCATAACTTTTATATGCACTGGGAAACCAAAAAAATCGTATGACTTGCTTTATTGCGATATTTGCTTTATTGCGGTGGTCTGGAACCAAACCCACAGTATCTCTGAGGTATGCCTGTGCCATGAAGCAGAGGCATGCAATTCTTTAGACTATTGCATTGTAGAGCGTTCTTTCTTCCCGTCTGTAATACCTTATTTGAATAGATAAGATTATTGCCTGTATTTGAATAGTAGGTTCAAATAGAAGGCAGGGTAAAGCAGCACTAGCAGCAGACTTTTGTGTAGCTCATGAATACAGGATATCACAGTGAGCATTACAGAGGTAGGAAATTTCAGTTTATTGAAATCAGAACCTGTTGCTGAGATGTATTAAGACACGAATTTTGGTGTGAGAACAGGTTACCAACACAGAAGCCTATCTGTGAAATGTAGGAGGGCACATTCTGGCCTTGATTAAAGACACACATTTCAGATTATCACTGTGTCCTGTGCTTGGACTGAATATATGAACATAAACGGGAATTGTTTTGGAGTGAGAGCTTTTCTGTTGTTCTCCTTCCATGGAATTGTTACATGAGGAACAGACTGCACTAGAATGTTACTTCCTTTGTCCTGGATTTGCAGCCAAGGGAAGCTCTGACAAGCATCAAGAGCATCCCAGGCTTTTTGGCCTTGATCATCAATGATGAGAACTGAAGAAGTGATCCAACCAGGAACATGGAGCTGTGTGCTATGAGGGTGGGGTGTTTGTAAGAGCCTGGCACTCTCAGAGAAATCTTTCCGATTTTTAAAAAAATAAACTCTATTAACTTCCTGCCTAAAATGTATATCAAAGTCATAACAGAAGTTTAAAAAGTGTCCTGAATCCCTACTGCACAGGGAATACATTTCACCAATTCCAGAAATCTAGAGGGGGCTGATACTATAAGGCACAGGTTCATTCAGCTACTTGTTCTGACAAAAGTCTGCATTTGAAAAAGTATTTGGGACCCAGTTCCACAATATGGACTTCTGCTCAGAATATGGTTCCTTTGTAAATTCTGGGTCTTATCACATCAAGACTTTCCAGGCCTGCTTGACTGTTAAGGTTGCTTGGCTTGAATGATCCTCAGATTTGGATTTCAGAGTTGTTGTTCTACGTTCCAGAAAGTTTCTGGACATTAAGGGGCTGACAAAACCATAACATGATAAGAGTTGCAATTCTTACATATTGTGGTCATGTACTGTATACCTAACACATCCCATAATTCTTAGCATTAATTTATTTTTGAAATGTCCAATTAAGTCTGTTCTGTTCCATTCCAACTTTTGAATCATCCCTATTTATTTATTTAAAACATTTTTATGGCCGCCCATCTTAAACCAAACTCTGGGTGACTCACAACCCGAGGATAAAAACAACATACAGAAACAATGAAATAAAAACAGTAAAACAAAGAGGGCCTGGCATAATTTTGGAGAGTGGACCTCGATATGCTGCACAAAGCCTGGCATCTTTTCTGGTCTAGGTTCAGCCCCAGGCTTGGCCAGCAATTGTCATAAGAGAAAAATAGGGTGATTGTGATCTTCTTCAATTTGATTCCTGGATTTCTTAGCAGCTCATGGAATATTTTCAGAGCACTGGAGGGAGTTGAATGTTAGAGGTGTTGCTTTGCAATTGTCCTGTTCTTACCTCATTGGATGCTATCAAAAGGTGATATTAGGAGAGATCCCTTCAGTCCTTTGAGACTTGTCCAGGGGAAGAATGTCCCCAAGATTCTTCTTATCTACCATATCACCAAATGTCTATATGAAGCTGCTGAAAAGTAACTGTTGATATATGAGTTTGGAGCTGGACACCACCAGCACACTGAGCTGTATGTAAGCTTTCCTGAAAACCTGAAATTGGGTATCTCCAGAGCATGGTAATTGGATGTGGGAAAATAGGTTGAAGCTGAATTTGGACAAAATGGAATTGCTGCTAATTCCAGGGGCTAGATTACAGAATTCAAGGGACATGGCTATTTTGGAAGGGGCTAAATTCCCCCTTAAAGAACACTTTATCCCAGATCTGGGATTTTAGATAACCACATAACATCTGTGGCAAGGCTGACCTTTTATCAGCTTGGCTGACACTAGCTGCACCCTTACCTGGAGAAGAGAGACCATACAGAAGTGTGATGTCATCACTTGTTGAAACAGCAGCATTGGTTGCTAGTTGCTTTCTGAGTCTAATTCAAGGTGCTCACTGAGGTGCAGAAAGCATGCATTTATTTATTTACTTACTTACTTACTTACTTACTTACTTACTTACTTACTTACTTACTTACTTACTTACTTACTTACTTACTTACTTACTTACTTACTTACTTACTTACTTACTTACTTACTTACTTACTTACTTACTTACTTACTTACTTACTTACTTACTTACTTACTTACTTACTTACTTACTTACTTACTAAATCAACTTATATAGCCGCCCATCTCACCACAGGCGACTCTGGGTGGCATACAACAAAGCTAAAAATAGTAAAATACATTAAAAATATATAAGACAAAACAAAACAGAAAATAAAAGGAAGTTAAAAATAAGGGAGCCATCTTATTTATTTATTAAATCAATTTAATATGGATTAAATCCAATTGTATATGGACGAGGCCCAAGTTACCTGCAGGACTGTCTTTTCAATACCATTTCAAATGCACTTTCAGGGCCTCAGTGGGATCCTTCTGCAGTTTTTGCTACCAGGTACATCTAACCCCAACAGTAAAATTTGCATTTTCTGACTGTGCCCGTTATTGTGGAATAAACAGTCTTTGGAGCTGAGGAAGGACAAAATAGTGTGCAACACACCCCAGACACGGTTACATTGTGAGATGAAAAGAGGAAGGGCAACACAAGAAAGGCCGCGATCCTCTTGCACTCTGATTTTTGAGTAAACGCGCATATCGCTCATGTTTGCCAATGCACATTAAACTTTCTCCAAAATAAATACTGCAGTAATAAACAGTCTTTACAAACGAAGAGGGCTCAGCATGTAAATCTAGCTGCGAGAATTTGGAGGCGCCTATTTACATCTGTGAAAAACTGAAAAGTTTTCCCTTACCAAGGAAGTTGGTAGAAACAGCACATTAAGCAAGCTGCGTTTGCCTCTAGGCACGCTGGCACTACATTTCCCATGATACATCACGGCACGTGCGACGGATTGCGACTCTACCCCCCCCGTTTCCGTAAGTCCTCATCAGGTGATTCGTGCTCTCTGAAAAGCACGTGGGAGGCACCGAAAGAAAGAACTTCCGGGGCAGAATGCTGCAAAGAGTAGTGGTGAGGGCAAATGCGCGTGTAGAAAGCTTTGCGGGAGCGGGTCGCAGTTGGCAATGACCTGGGGCGCTCGGATGGGGGAGTGGAGTGGGAGATGAGCCCCTAAAAAGATCCTTGGCACGAGACATCCCCCGTCTTGAACTTCTTTAAGTAATCTTGGAAATAAGCAACGGCGTTAGATAATTAAACCAATCGAACCGCACTCTCCCTAACATCTAGTTTCTGAAAACCAGAAGCAGGATATCAAATGAACTTTTACCCCCCATTCCTCCCCCCCCAGCCCCCGTAAATTGCCTCTGTATAGTCATATTCCAGTTATGCTGGGATGGCTTATAGAAGCTGGTAGATCTTTTTCCTATAGTTTTCTATAGTTACATAGTTTTGTTTAATCCCTTTGAAGACACACTCATGTAATGGTTCCCACTTCTTGTGGCAGCATAGATAAGGTGATGCAAGAAGGTATTCTTTGTTTTCTGTGTCATGAAATTACAAATCTTCATGTTCACAGGGTGATTGGAGATTGATTATTATTGCAAATGGAGAAAAATCTTACTCAGGCCACCTTTCCTCAGTTGTCACTGTCCAGATGAGAATTAATGGGAGTGATTTGAAATACAGCTGGATCATGCCAGATTACTCTTATAGGCTGCTCTTTCTGATTTAATACACTGTGTCATCCTTCTCATAGATACTTTTCTTTTCTGCCCTTCTAAACAGTAGGCCAGAGTCACATCGGTAGCTTAGAGTTACTTTGGTAAGTCAGGCGGCATACAAATTGATTTTTAAAAAATGCATTGTTTTCTACCTAAAAAGGAGACAGATCACTAATTTTTTGCTTAGCTCTTTGAAGCCCTTTCAAACAGGCAAGGTATTTTGCTCCCCTCACTTTCAGGATGTGAATTTGTGTTTGTGTATGTAGGGAGCAGGTGGGCGCTCTGATAAGTGTTTTGTTAACAACGTTAGAGAAAGAGACCCAACTGGGAGTGGAAAGCCTGGCTGAGAGGATAGATCAGAAGTGGCAGACAAATGCCTATGTGTCTAACTACCCATATTCCTCTTTCTAGCACCCTGTACGGCTGGGATGCCACATCCTCTCTTTGTCCCGGAGCCTCCATCAAACTCCCAGGAGTCACATTCCCCTCATCCCTATTGTAGTGGAACAGACGGTAAGCGGACTAGGCGGAAATGGGCATCATTTTCTAAATATGCAAATATGACAAAGAAAGCAGGTATGGAACTAGGCTGTCTCCTTTCTGTTGGTAGATAACATTTTACTTCAGGCTCATGGTAAGTCACTGGGGAAAAGGGGAGGAGTTGAAGCATGGTGGTATGGACACTTCATTGCAAAATTAATAGAGATCTACTAGCTTAAATATTCTTCAGAAAATTAAATATAATTGCAGATAGACTTATCTGTCATTCCATTCTCTTTATACTCCTTGACCAAATATTTGTTCCTTCTTACTGAATGATGAGATAGATGATTGCCTGTACATTTTGTCTTCTATTACCTTGACACTTAAAAAAATGTCATGAAAGGAAGATATCATGAATGAAACATGCAGTTACCAGAATGACAGAAAAGGTACCAACCCTGCTTTAGAATCCCTGATACTTTGATGGCTCTGTTTTGGTGCCTGATCCTTCTTTTACCCCTTCATGGATCACTGCCTTGTCGTGGCGAAGGGGCTTGCGTAACTCAGTGAAGCCATGAGCTATACCGTG